CATTGCCTTCCATTCAGAATCTTGACAGATTTCGATAAATCTGCACAAGTTCTTGAAAGATCTGGGGCGAAACTTGAGAAATCTTTAAAGATTTATCAAGATCTGCATTCAAGATTTTTCTCCTGGGCACTGAGTTATATTTGTTCTAAGTTTTCAATAAACCGCTAAAATCTATTTTTAAAACAGCCATCCTGAACTTAAAATTGCGCTGCATCAAAATAGCTTTTAAGCAAAAGTGCATTGGCTGGTTCTCCGATTCATTAAGAAGCCATCATTGGGTTATCATAACCGGCGTACCCTTGATTTCAGTCTTTAAAAAATATCTGTCAAACTTTTTGAGTTATATTCAGACTCGGTATTAAAATCGAAGAAAAAACGAATGACTTTTAAATAAAACAATACAGTTAGGCCTGCATACATTTGGTGGCAATAAGGAAAAGCTTAGCAATAGAAAACATTGCGAAAAGGATCGGAAAGGAAGAAAAATGTGTTCGTGTATAACAGTGTTTATTATCCATCACAGCCACCACTCGTGTCTCCTCCATCATTTCCACCAGCAAATATTAGAGAATAGGTCGCTTTTGACAAGTATTTTTTATCAACATTTTCACCATATTTACTGTTACATGCTTTTTTCCATTTTTCATTGGTTGTAGCATATACTTGAGTGAGTACACCATCTTCAATAACGGCATCATGATCGAGCAAATGACCGCATAGTGCCATCGTTGCTTGTTGATATTTTTGTGGCCATCGTTTATGTGTACGCCACATAATATCGATGTCAAACGTAGGAATGATCAACTTCTTCTCTCTGGCCAATTTTAGAAATGAAACATAGTTTTGTATCAAATGTTCGAAATCCTTTTTTGTTACCGTTCCATGAAGAAATAAAGCATGTTTCGAAAATTTATCGAGAAATTTTTTTTGGCGTAATACTGCTTTTGTTAAATCAATTGATGGCGTAAATTGTGGAGATGACACTGATGTTATAGATATATCAGATATGGCATCTTCCGTCAAATTATAACATTGTTTATCGACTATCTGTCCCAACTGTTTTCGACAATCTTTATAGTAGACAACCGGATGTAAACGATGAACATGCCAAATCCAATCAATTTCTATGGGTAACGATTGTTGATATTTACTGGATAACATATCACCTCGAGCCATTCGATAGCAATACGACGCAATAGCCGATGCAAGCTCCGGTCCAGTTTTAGTTAGCTGAGGACGTGCAATAACCTTTTTCAGCAGGATTACATGATCAATAAGATCAGCAAATTCAAACCAATGTGTTTCGTTATATTGCGTTCTTGTTTTCACCGCTGTGCTGTGTTTTCCACCCATTAAGTCTAGAAACAAGTGTTTTTGTGATAGACCTAAGATTAGTTACCATAAGACGGTAAATAATCGGACCAAGAAACTCATTTGGCCTTAAGTGTACCGTCCTCTTCTGTTTTGAAAGAAATACCCATTAGTCGACTAGCAGACATAAGTAATGGTTTTTTCTTGTTTTGTACTGAGATGTCAAATGAAATTTTGCGATCGAAAAGTATGAAAAACTTCAGAAGTTTAAGTTGCATCAATGAAGAACAAAAATGATAAGAATTATAGGAACTGTTCGAATTGTAGGAACATGATGAACTATAGAAAGTATTCGAACTATAGGAAGTACAGGAACTATCCCAGCTTTATACAAGCCAGCAGTCAAAAACGCCTCAAGGCTTAGATGCTACTTGCACAACGTGGATTGGGGAGGGGAGAGTGGGTAATGAGAATGAGTGCGATAAAAGATTTGACATATAAAAATTCTGATAAGTGAAAAGTGAAATTTCTTCTGACTTAACTTTCCTTTTCTTCCCTGAATTTTTTTAAAAACTTCAAGATATTAATACAAAACAGATTAATTTTGGGCAGTTTTTGGACATTTCCTACAGTTCCTATAGTTCTCATAGTTCGAATAGTTTATGTATCTCAAAGTTCATAAGTTTTCCATAATTTTCAATCGCAAAATTTCGCTCAACGGCACTCACACGAACTCGAACAAATCAGAAATACGAAAATCAAAAGTTCGAACAACAGATATTCCAGTCATAGTGAGATCTGCTCGAATAAAGTTTTTCTGCCGAGTTTCTTTCAAATCGGGCTTCCGTCAAGTTATCAGTTTTGGCTTTTCCTAGAGTACTGAAGGCAACCGTAGACCCGTGTATTTTTAACCTAAAATAGTGGAAATCGTAGAATGGTGTCACACTGTACAAAACACTCCACTCAACTCAAATTTGTAAAAAAACAAACTGGGGGTGCTCTAGATGTTCGTCTCAAACATCAAAAGAATAGAAGAACATGGATAAAAACACCTTCGAAGTCACTCGATTTTTTGGTTGGCAATAATGTCGATCTGTCAATTTCATATTTTAAAAGGCTTCCGTATAGCTAGTTACTTACAATTTTTTCATGTCACTTTTTTAAATAAGAGCGTATTGCATCTGATAAAGTCCTTTTATAATAATAATAATATTTTTCTTAGCACGTAAAAACGATAGAAAAGCACTTTCATTTGCCTGGCATACTATGAATTTTTCCAACAAATTTTTTCACGCATTATTTATTACTTTAGAAATATTTCGTTCTGTTCCATTTTTGCTAGCGTTAATTTAGAAGACAGAATGAAAAACATAACAATAATGAGTAAGTGGCAGAAAACAAAAATAATACTGTTATTTTATTATTTTTTCTTTACTGCTGGTTCATATGATGTAATCATCGTGTTTAACAAATACAAATAGTTTGTGTCTGTATTTCAGGAAATGTTCTTTCTAAAATTACGACTCTTTTATATTTATAATACCATATGTGTGATCACGTTTCTGTTGGATTTCGTAAAAAACACAAATGAGAACGACGAAGTGAATATTCAAATGTACCGCATTCTTTACTCATAAATGAGCATCGTTTGGTACCAAATTTAAATAATATCGTCTAATTGGATTCCTTCAAAATCGATCTCAAAGCTCTCTGGAACCGTACTAGTGCATTTGCGCGAAACAGTCTTCATTTCATTCGTAGATTTTATTTTTCTTCTTTTTTTATTTGAGAAAAACGCACTATTTTTTTAATGAAAACGATCTCGGCGGTCACACTCTTCTGATTCATATTACTACTAGTGTTAAGTCTGGTACATTTAATCCTCTAGTCCTTTCGTTTTCCTTAGTATTTAGTTTTCTATTTTTTGTCTTACCTCTGTTTACATGCGTGTGCGTGTGATCTTTTAGTATCATAGTGACTCTGGTCCATTTTTTCGTCTCTCTATCTTCATTCTATTTTCTATTTCATCTATTCGTTCATCTATAGTTTAAACTGTTATTTAAATAACAAGTAAAAACAACGTATTCAAGAATATGTAATCTTATACTGTTTCTCCCCAGGAGGAACGATGTCTGAAAATGTCGTCCCAACCCATAAAATTTAGAAATTCAATTTGCCACATTTTATGTTCGAGATACAACTCTCGAGAATGCTTTTTTCGAACAGAAAACACCAATCTCTAAAATATCTTCTCAGTGATTTCATCACTGAATCGTGATTTCTACATAACCTGACTCTACCTAACCTAGGATGAAGTGGAAATACATATAAAGTATACAAAACATACACAAGACGAGTTGTGTCTATATTAGAATTTGACATCCAAAATTTGAATTTCTCGTTTATTGTAATGTGCCATGCTATGAATATCGTCTCAGTGATTTCATCACATATCAACTACTACATGTGTGTACTACAGAGAATACGGTTAAACAGATAAAATCGAGTATATGTTGATATTTTGAAACAGTTTTTGAGTGTGTTATGAATTTTTTAATTTTCGGTGCGAATAGTGGAAAATGGATTATTTCGTCTAGTATACGCTTTCACTACTTTTGGGAAGCTTTTCCGGAAAACAAACATCAAGTAAGTCAAAACTTAACGAATGATCAGCAGTCGAAGGAGCTTTAAACACATAATTCGAAGTGGTTAGACTCTATAGCTCTGAGATGACAGGTTTCGGTATACCTTTGACCGGTACCGTAACCTGACATGCACGAATCGAAAATAAACGAATTTTTTAATTAGAATACTTGTAAAATATTCTACATGTAAAGTCTTATTTGAATCGCCTATTTGAATTTCCTTTAAGCTTACATTTCTGTTTTTACCATTTTTGAATTCATTATTTTCCCTTCCACTCTCCGGATTGTAGCCATTTTAGTCAGTTTGCTGTTTCTTGTTTTTATGACCGGTGTGTATAATGCTATTTTTTTTGTTATGCATGTCTATACGTCTGTGATTCTTCTTTGTATGCAGTAAGAGATGTTTATATTTTGATGCTTAATAGTATTTATCTTCTTATGTCAGATCTTCTTGTTTTCCATTTAATTTCTTTTCTCAGATGTTTATTTTCTTGCGCCAGATTTGCTTGTTTTTTCTTTCTTCAATGTGAATACAAGAAAGAGTGTTTCAAAATTATCGTTCAGGTCCCAAGATTATTTCATTCATGCTCATGTGCGACTACAAATGCATTATTGGAACAAGCGAATAGCTCATAGACTCTATTTTTGTTGTCTATTTTGTTGTCCTCCCCAGTAGTCAGTTCATCCAGAGTCAATGCATATATTGAGAAAACCACAGTACACTACATCATTTAAAAAATTCTGAAGTACAGATTGTTCTCTTGATTATCCTCTTTTCTTTAATTTTGGGTTGAATTTAGTGAGTGTCGCAGAACTAACAACAGTACGTAAGCTATAACTCTTTCTTTAAAGAGATATGCGCTTTCGGAGGTGCCTTACTAGTAATTTTTACCAAGTTCACAGTTGCTTTCTTTCAAGTTTCAACAATAAAAAAATGAAATGGAAAAATTTTTCAATCGCTAATCATTCGAAAAATATGTAATGAAAAAATGCTCAAATTTCTAATTAATGAGTGAAAGATGGTAATGAAACTCTGCTCAAACTGCTCCTGAACTGAAAGATACATTTTTCAATATTGAAAAAGATTTTCTAGCTTTTGTGAAAAAATTTATTTTGCAGTTAAACTCGTTTATTCTAAATCTGAGCTTTTCTAGAATCCTTTGCAATTGAATATCTACATGATGCTTTAGTTTTTAATAGTTCATGTAATAATTCAAAGCCGAAAACTTGATAAATCTTACTACTAACTAAACTCCCATGCTTTCAAAAGCATTGCAAGCGTCGTTCGAGACACAAGTTTGAGATAAAAACTTCTCATTGATAGTTCCACTAAAGAGATATTTCTCATAAAAAAAATTCAGTTATACACAAAAATAAAACTTTATTATTACCCATTCTCCTTGTAAAACTAACATTTGTTTGTTCCTTCCGACATAAAATATAAAGTAGATTTTTTGTGTAAATCACAACTATTAATACATGGAAACAGTTTTGCTATAGATTTGTATTGCCATCTTCGTGTAAAGCGTCTCG